AAAAAAAAAAACAACCACAACAACCCAGCACATCACACTTGTGACTCTTTTAGACTACACCCTACATTTTGAATTTTTTGAAAAAAGGGCCTCCAAATAGGTATTAGGAAACCAATACCTGTGCCAGGGATGTATTTGTGTGGAACACCAAGCAGAAAGGTATTCCAATGTTTAATCAGTTCTCACTGTGCTCACTGGTTTAATCAAACAGCCCAGCCCTTCTTAACAGAAATCTTTCAATGCCCAGTGCAAAAAAAGCTGATACTCTTGGGGTCTCAGGGAGCTCAAATTTACTATTTCTAGTCAGCAAATACTACTACTACTCAGCAAATTCTTTATTGTACGTCATAGCACAATCTGTGCTATGACTTGCAAACAACTGTCGAGCTATCTTTCAAGAAGTTGTTGAGTGTGCTGACTCCTCGGGGTAACAGCCTGAATTAGTTTCTACCACATTCCAGGTTATCTAGTCTCTGATAACCTGTTTAGTCTTATTCCATTTTTTTTTCTCCAAAAAGATTCAAGAAAACTGGGCTGCTTGAGTACAACTAAGACATTTGAACCATGTTAACATTCCTGCTGGATCTTCATATGGCCATATCCAAGATTTTAGGAAAAAGCCTCATACCACTAAAAGTGCAAAGACTGCTCTACTGAATTATCAAGACTCATTTCTGGGATACTTCACTCTAAAGGGTCCTCTATCTTCTAAGCAGAAATTCAGCATATACTGAATCCCTTAATTAGGGTAAGTTTTCTCTTTCATATTTAACATTTAAAAAAATAAAATCAGATGCCTTATTGAGAAAAGAGTATCTAGAATGAGTGCCCCAGTGTTGTAGGTTTGTGGTTTTTCCTAAAAACAAATGAAAAATCATCTTTAAATACAGATGTTCTAAAATCATGCAGTTTGACATTACTCATGGTTTTAAATAGTGTGCATAACCTTGATCACCTCTGCTCTCCAGGATTAAGTATGTTATTGGGCTCTCCCATGTCCATTCTCCTACCGTTGGACTCGATCTCAAAGGTCTTTTCCAACCTAAATGACTCTACAATTCTGAGTTATAATATGCTATAGGATTATTTTTTTTCCGATGATCTCAAAGGTCTTTTCCAACTTAAATGACTCTACAGTTCTATGAGCTATAATATGCTATAGGATTATTTTTTTTTCTTGGTGCACAGATCAAATTATGTATTAAGAAATTCTAAGTGAGAAGGGTGAGCTCTTCAATGCAAGGTATCCTCTCTCCCAGAGAAAGTATACTGTAAACCTTACCTGGCACTTTGTCTGAGCTAAATACAACATTAATGTCGAGGTGGTCGCTCTTCACGTATCCGTTATCAGGACAGTTCTTTGCACTGAGAAACTATGATCCACAGTGCAGCGGGGGTAACGGACAACCTGTGTCAGTATTACTGTGCTTTCACTCAAGAGCTAAACATGTTACACACTACATAAGAGCATTTTGAATGCGTGCATTGTAACTCGATAGCAATTTACAATTTAGAGGCCCATTGTAAAAAAAAAAACCTCCTGTAAACCTAAAACATTTAAAGATCACCTGTCAAGCAACTATATATTCCTAATGCATGATGCCAAATAATGAATTACACCTTTCAAGGATGAACCATATTGGATTTTTAAAAGAGGCCATGCCACAGGGATACAGTTCTTTGTCTTTCCTAAGCAGATCATTGTACATCTGATCATATGTTGTTTTGAAATCATAAACATTCGGCTTGTCCGGTGCTGGTCCCGGCAGTTTCACATGAGTCCCTGTCCCAAAGGATCGGACGCTGAATCCTCGTTTGCTGAAAGACAAGAGGGGAAAAGAGGGGGGGAAAGGGCAATTAGATTGGATAGACTTTAAACACCAAAGTGCTGAAGAACACATACTGAATTTTAAAAACACCTCTTAGGAATCACTCAAATCGCAACCAAACAGTTGGGCAACTCCAATCAACTAAATTGCCAAGAATATCTAATAATGTGCATACTTCCTCGGAGTTACAATTGAAACTCACACACCATTTCTAAAGAATCACATCTATTTTTATATGACATTTTCTTAGAATTACGGTACTTAGCATTTTGGATATTTCTTTTGTGCTTTCAGGCATCTTGGATTTGCAACAAGCATATGTTCACATTCCCTCTAGGACACCACAGCAGAGGCAGAAATGGTTTTGTCTTGACACAAGAAAGTAACAATACACACTGATCAATATTTATGTATTCTGCTAAAGTTGCTGGGATAACTACATTATTCCCCTCACTATGTTGCCAAAACTATCTCTAGTGTAATTTAAACTGTCACATGCAAACATTTGTGTTCTCAAGTGGACTGAAAAACATACTGTGTAATTACCCTTACAGAAGTGGAGCACATATTCTACTGGCTGGCACCTAAAACTCTTGGGTAAGCCAGGGATAGCTTCATTCCATTCTCATGAACAACTACTTATTTAATAATTATAATTAAAAAAAAGAAAGGCAGGAACCTGCTTGTCTTTAGAGGTAATGCTAAAACATTCTTTCTGGTTCACCTAAATACACCTACTTGAACCTCAACAAATCCTTCAGTAATACTAAGAAACATTACAATATATTTGTTGAATAACAGGACTGAAAAGAGATTATTTTCTGATGGTCTAATGGACAATGTTACATGGTAAAATACTGTCACTATTGTCCAAAACACTGAAACATCTGGCTTTATAATGACAATCTAACTTCTGAAACAGGTCAAGACCACGGCCTATTTTTTTAAGGACCCACACTTTCAGCTTCAACGATTTATTAGAGACTGAATAGAGAGAACAGTGTTAAAAAAAAACAAAAACAAAAAGCAAGCACACAACCCAATGCTCCCCCTCTCTCTCCCCCTAAATAAAAAAATTATTGTAGAGCCTTCTTCTGAGCAGAGAGACTGGGAGCAAGAATCCCAAGTACACATTTTGATTGATGGACAAGTCACATCTTGACTCCTTGCTCTTCACACACAAGACAGCAAGGAAATTCAGTAGAAGACACACCAATTCAAATCAGATGTTTGCCTTCAAACAGCGCCTTTGAAGTGATTCAAAAAGCTTCTAGGCAGAGACTAACTGTGATCAAGCTTTGCCCCGAGCTCACACACTGCTACACAACTATCAGTAGTGTCATTTCCTTTAATTTGTCTTACTGGAACACAGCCCTTCCTTGCTCTTTCCTTGTTTTATTCCGCTTTTTTTTCCCAGCAACTATATATAAGTTCCTATTTCTGTAAACAGACAGGATACATGATGATTTTTTTCCTTCTTCCTGCAGGACTAATGACTGAAAACAGATACAAATGGAAAAAAGTGCAATTCTTTGCCCCTCCCAGCCCTCCATCACATTAACAGTGACTCATAACTGCACCAGTTACATTTAGTTTATTTTCCCTGCAATACTTCCAGACCCGAGTTTTTAGTCTATTCCTTCTACTGGACATGAAAAGCACCATAAAACATACAGAAGAAATTGCAGTGCTAAAATAGTAATGTTTTAAATTGATCTTTTTTTCCTGGTGTCTCACTCTTTTTTCCTTTCTACATCTACCTTGAAACTATTTTTGATAACAATTTTAATACCAACTGAAAAATAATGGATTTTGGCACCTTGCACTTTCTGCCTTATTTCCTTCTCTCCCACATTACTGCAAAGCAATAATGTTATCATGGAAATGAATTTTCTTGTATGCTTTTCTCCTAATTTTTAATTTTTCCTTTAATATTGTTCTTTGGAATAGGTCTGCTTGGGTCACACAATAAGAAGCCTATCACCAACTGTTGGAAATGTCCTTGAAGTCTGCATGATCTCATAAAACAAAACAAGAATCTTCACTTGAGGCTCCACATATCACAAATTTGTGCCTCTAATGCACATGACTCCTTGGAAATTATTTCCTTGAATGTCCAGAATATGCATTTCTCACATGGAATTTCATGCTTTGACATCAGCAGTTGTCAACATACAGCTTTTACGCTATTTATGAGCCAGGTGTACTATTATGAATATTCTGAAAATGTTTCAACGCATTTCTTGCAACAATTGGGGGGTAGAGGAGAGGGATGGATGTCTGAACAGAACCATTATTCCAACAGAGGCTGCTTTTATTAAGCAGCTGGACAGATGTAGTTTAGTGACTCATCAGTATCTCTTGTAATGAGACACAGCCTTTTAACAATAAACATTTTCTATAAGGCAATGTACACCTAGTATTTGTTCTTGGCCTAGTAAAAGCAGTTGATGATGGAAAATAGCGAGCTTCACTTTTACCATAAACATTAGAAGGTAAAATATACTAATATACTATCCTAGCACTGATTTCTGAGAATGGGAAGCTTAAATATTTACCTGTAAATATTGTGAAATTTCAGAAATCTGATTCTATTAGTGCTATTAAGACCAACGTACAAAAACTATCAATATACTAAGTACAAATGTATACAGATCCCATTTTCAGCAAGAATGCTCACCTCAGTTTAAGTTCAAAGCTCATTACAATGAGATCACACGGACTAATCACGTGTTCATGAGTTTATAGACTTTTAACTGAAGAAACTAAGAACAGTCATTGTGTTTCCCTCCACAGAATCTCAGAGGTCATTGCAATGTGTCTCATCTGGGACCTAACTGCTGCTGAAGGCAGAGATCAGCACAGGACTACACTAACCAAGCACTAATACCTGACAGAGTTGTTACAAATCAGTTTCGGGCACTGAGAGGAGAAATGATATTAATCCATGCAGACTGAGACGTGAGCTCTTATCCACGTCTTTCTTCTAACTCACTGTTATTTTGAGGTCTCACATATGCTTATTACATTAAGGTATTTCCAGCTTACTCTAAGGTCATAAAAGTACAACTTCTCTTCTTACCATGGCCAGTAATACATATTACTAAACATTAAAGCAAATGCAGTAAATCCTGCAGCACCACTGCAGCTTGTAGAGATTTTCAGGGGACAAATCACCCATTTTAATAAATCCCCTTCCACAACTTGTAACAGGAAAATAATTAGCAGCAGTGTCCTCCTTGTGGACCACTTGAAAAATATCTGATGCCAGTTAATCAATATAAAAAAACCCAAACAACCACCTCCCCAAGCCCTACCCTGATAAAAAACAAGAAGTATTGCTAACTAATTTTGCATATGAAATAATTAAAACATTAACAACTTCCTGTAATTTGCATTATCAGTGATAAGCTGTCAAAAGAAAGTGGTTTAATATAAAAATATTTCCTTCTTTTTGAGTGTTTATTAATACAATTTTAAATTTCTGAAATTAAGCAGTACAAATGTCAAGATCTCACTTTTTACTGCCTTCACTTATATCTTGTACTCACACTCCTAATTTCTTAACAGTTTCCTAAAAGAAAGGAAGATACACCTAGCTTAGGTGCATATCAGTAATCTGTAAGTTTTTATTATCAGCAGTAACACAGAGACCCTGAACTCAGGAGATTGAGACAAGGTATCTACTACACCTTAAGAGCCTGAAAATACGAAGTTTCTAGAGAGTAGGAGGTGCTCTGCAGAGTTTGAAATGACACTTCTTCTTAAAGGCCCTGAGCGTACTACCAAATAAACATCCACAAATGGAAATGTTGAAGCTGCTGTATAATTAAGTTTGGTAATAAGAGAAGTGTTACCCTTCCACCTTCCTCTTCTATGCTTGAAGGAGAACCATGGCCTAAGTGCATACTCCAGCAAAAAAAAAAAAATAATAAAAAAAATACCTATACACAGACTGTACTTGTAAAAGCAGGAAAGGTAGGATGAGTAAGATTTGACCTAGGGACTAGTTACAGACAGACATCCTGTTTGACAGGTTTTAAGGAAGGATGATGTCTTTGCACGTAGTCTTACTGCTTTTCCTCTCTTCCCTTTGCTTTACCACCTCAACATTCCCCTATGGTGATGGTAACCATTCGAGTAACAAACCTCAGAAGACCTTCAGTCTGACTTCTGTTGGAATGTTAGAACAAAACGTTTAAAACCTGGTTGGTTAGAAAATAGGCAAGCACACTACTGAGCAAATGGAAACTGAACTGAACCAAGGTAACACCAGAAATTAGTAAAAAAGATCTAATGTATAATTTGTTTTCCAGAGGCACAAGTGGCAGCACAGAGATAACAAGTATAGCGAAGATGAGGAATTCAGGCAAGTGAAACTCCTTGCAGGCCCTTTTTAAATGAACCACTGCAATTTAAGAGGACAGAAAGTTTGTTAAGTGTCAAAAAAAAAAAAAAAAGAAACTCTTTTTATCTGGTACCTTAAGTTTAATGAAAGGGAGAAAAGCAAAACCAAACACCACCCAAATTCTGTCAAGAAAGTATGTGTTACAATTTGGCTTTTCTGAGTATAAAAGACAGAGCACCAGGGTGTTATAAGATGTAAGTACATTAAGATGTTGAAACCACTCAATAACTTCATGCATTAAAAAGGATAAACTACTAAAAAGAAACATAACAGTAAGAAGCGATGGACTGCAGGTACTTCCAACAAAAGCCTACAGGGTAAATAGAACATTTTACCCAGATGTTATACGTGGGAGGCTAAGTTTTATGTTTTACAAATGCATCACAGATTAAAATTCAGACATTTCTGCAAGATGATTTTTGCTTTAAAAGGAAGTAGAATACAATTAGGTTCAAGTTTTAATAGGCAGTATGTAGGCCGAACATTTGGAAAGTAAAATAAGCTTGCCTTACTGATACTGTTCTCTATAAGTCGAAGAATAGGGTAAGAAAAATCACTGATAAGAATTCTACATGAAAAAT